TGGTGTCATTTTAATGGTCCGGCCCACTTGACATCCACCGAGGCCGTATGTGGCCCACCATGTGAAATGAGTTTGACACCCCTGCTCTAACGGCATAGTTCAGAATTTTGTACTTGTTATTTAAGTTTAAAAAAAAAGTCTTTCGTTATTTCAAGTCGCTGATGGTGTAGTGTTACACTTGCGTGCGGGCAGCGTGGGATCGGTTCCAACTCAGGGACAGTGTGATTGTGGGTGTAAATGCTTGTTTATCTCTATGTGTGCCCTGCGACTGACTAGCGACCAGCTGAAGCTGCAATTTGCCTTCTGCCTGAAGTCAACTTGGATTAGCTCCAGCACCCCTGTGACCCTGTATACTATACAGTGTATAGGATCAGTGGTGTTGAAAATGGATAGTTTCACTGTCTGAAGAGTTACTTATTCTTGCACTGGACAATTTTGCTTCTCATATTTTTTTTCTGGAAAGTTAAGGAAAAACTTTTTTTTTTAATGTTGACAATTTGATCCTGATGCAGTTGATTTCTAATTTGATCATGTATTGACCATCATCCTAAAATCAGCCCTGCTCGACTTCTAAGGTTCAACTGTATTTAGATGTACGACTTGAGCTCTCACTTCCTGCAGGCTCCACCTTGAACTAACATTCATTTGATTATATAATTTGATCTTAAAACAAGAGGACAAGGCGCCGTCACTTCTGACCCGCCCTTCCTATGCAGTTTCCTTGTCCTTGTACCTCGTATCACACATCATCTCACACTTTTCGCTCACTCACCTTGAGTTTGCCCCCTGGGCCTTCTCTTCTCTCCCTGCCCTTCTCTCTCCTGTTTCAGTCTCAGTCTTTCTCCTCCTCCTCATGATCCTCCATGTGAGCACTCTCTCTCCTGAGGTAAACCGTCCTCTTGTGGGTGTTGGCTTGTTTCCCAAGCTGCACATTCCCGCTGCCTCTTCGTGGGTTGCTGTGGAGAGGCACCAAGAGACAAGCACTTGCCCTGCTCTTCTCTTTCTCTTTACCGACAGCCTTAAAATGTCAGCAGCAGAGCCTTTTTTCCCCCCTCGATCTTAATTTCCACTTCGAGCTTCATATGTTCTTATCCCATCCCATACTCAGTCATTACAAACATTACTTGTTCACAATCGTGATCGACAGCACAAATTCACATTTGTTCCTGGAGATTACAGAGACGTTTCTTGAATAGGAAGACTCCAGGCTGAACTAAAAGCAAGAGAATGTTTCCAGACCAGAGATGAAAGTCCTCCGGATTTTCCCGGAATTCCGGGTTTTTCAAATTTTTATGAAAATTTCTCCGGAGAATTGAGGAAAATTTGCATAATCCGGATATTAGTTGACAACATTGAACGAAGACGCGTTTGAGTTCGTTGTATTGCTTTCACGAGCTTAGCCATATTGAGGCACTAATACTAGTAACAGTAAAGAGATTTTTGTTTGTGTAATAATGACAGAAGGCATAATGGCGTTTGACTAATGGTTTAGTCATTTTGCCTCTTGGGTTATACCATCTCAACTAGAAGGTGGGTGATAGTCCCCAAACAATTTTCGTCTCTTTATAAACACACCTGCTAAACCCCAGTGGAACGAATAAAAGACGCCGTCAACAAGACAGTTGTCGTAAAAAATAGATGTGGCCAAAAAGGGAAAAACACAGATTGGCAGAAAATCGTGTCCGGCCGACTTCGAGTGTCGTAGCTTGAGTGGAGTCGCCACAACAGTAATACCCTCGCCTCGCATTCTCATGGCCTCGCCATATCTTGGAGATTTCGAAATTTCGGCCCGAACGGAAGCCACAAAGGGTACACGTGTGCACACAAAAGGAAGATTAATCATTGAATGTCGAGTATTTTAATAGCGTTTTGTGTAAACTAATTCATGCTTGATCGGCCAAGTGCGTGTGTGTGTGTGTGTGCGTGTGTGTGTGTGTGCGCGCACACACACACACACATTTATTTATTTATTTATTCCGGAATTTTCAGAAAAGTCCACTTTCATCTCTGCCAGACGCCATCTTAGAAGTTTAAGTATGTACATACGTAAGCGCTGAAAGGAAACAAGCACAGGTGTGTTTGCTCTCGAGCGAGCTCTCAGGGGATAAGTGCAGTTGTGGAAAATCACTGCAGTGATGCAGAAGATGTTTGTGTTACCTCCTGCTGTGATGTCATTGTTACACAGACATGCAGCAACTCAGAAATGCTTTGGGATCTAATTATAGTGGCCCCAGAACAAAGTCCATACATACATTCTGAACAAACACATTAGAAAATAGGATTGAAATACAGACAAGAATAGCGTTTGAAGGGCAAGTGCAGTTTAACAGTGTTGTCATGGATTTTTCTTTCAGCTAAGTTGTCAAAAGAAATATTTGGATGGCAGCAGCAGATCGCGAAATCATTATTAATATATATTATGTAATAAACCCTGTCTTTAAAAAAATAAAAAAGGAAATAGAAGGCTTTTACATGGCTGTGATGTAACATTACTCTGAGGCTGGGGCGTCGCTCGGTTTTATGGACAGTTGTGGGGGGGGGGGGCACTTAGCCCCCAGGGGATGCACAGGTTGTGAGCAAGTCCAGCGCGCGAGCAGCTAGCAAAGACCGATAATACCGTTTAAAAGTTTCAAGTCAACATTAGATTCTACTGTTATTTCAGTTAGTTTTTTAATACATTACACAAACACAGGAAGTACATTCGCCGCACAAAAAAAAAAAAAAAGTGTGTGAGAAAGTAAACCAAACCCATCATTTTCAATTAAAAAAACAAAACACTGCAGATAAGAGTAAATCATATACTCAAAATCAAATTCATAGCTGCAATCACCAGCTATTTGGTGTGTGAAAAGATCAAAGAAAGCTGTCTCTTTTTAAAGATGGCATATCAGTTACTCTGTTGTGATTCGGCGTGTCAAGGCTAATGACATGACTTTGGCTCACAACACACTGCTCAGAAATACTTGTGAAGTTGCAAAAATTACATTTTGGCACATATGCCTAAATGGTTAAAGAAGAACATCGCTAAATGTTATTGAAGTTCAACAATAAAAGAGATATTGTATAGTCTTGAAAATATCTGGGACAGGCTAATATGGATTATATTCATCTCTTGGCTCTCTCCACTTTCTAATCATAACTTTCCAAAATCAATTTTAATGAAACATAAGTCTTCTATGATGCACCTCGCCTGAAATGTTTCAAATTTCCAATCCATATTGAGTTTGAAATGATTCCTAGACTCTTTGCATCACAAATGGCTTGGCTTCTTCTGTTTCAGCCTTTCACCTCACGTTTCTTGCACTTTTAGATGTCGCTTTCCTTGTTGCACTCTCAACTCATGTCCTGATGCCTCTAGTTCAATATCGATGAAGGATCATATTAATATTGATTATTATTGTTGTGGTTATTATTATTATTATCCAGTGATGACAATCTTAAATGAATAAGCTCAGGTCTTGTTTCACGGCGTGAATTTATACATCGAGTTCACTCACGAACCCCCTTGATCTTCATGTAAACAGCCAGGAGCTTCCAAAATGTATTTCGGATAAATTGACATGCTAGTTACTCGTGGCATGGGACTTTCTGCTGTTAGGCAGGAACTAGCTAACTGTCAATAAGAGCAATCCTGAAGACTTACTTTTTCTTTTGTCCATCCTTCGTGTTTGTTTTTGTCTCTCATAAGACTAAGAATAAAAAAAATGCAACAAAAACATTTAGGGGAGATGGAGAACCTTTTATTGAGGGAGTGCCGCCCCCCCCCCCACCCCTTCCGCCCAAACAACGTCAATGCTCTGTGGTTTACTTCCATCAACAACAGATCATATTTCTGCATTTTCTCAGTGTGGGAGAGAGCAAGAGGTGACATTGTGCTCCTCTTAAGTTGTACAAATGCCTTGCCTGAAAGGGAGAATGGCAGTCATTTGGAAGTTGTTTGGTATTCAAGAGATTATATAAGAGACTTTCATTCGATCTAATCAGCTTCCTGGCTTGGCACAAAATATTGAAAAACATTGTGGCTATTGGTACCATTGTTCCTGGAGGTAATATATTCCACAGAAAAACACAACCAGCCACTTGTTCTTGTGACCAGCAAACGTGCAGCAGCTCCAAATAATGTTTTCATTGTCATAGTAGAATGAAGTAGGCAGCACCAAAGAGGTGAAGGGGAATTGAACATTTTCACATGAGAATGAGGAATTATTAGGCCAGCGTTTTCAGAATTGGCAGTATCCACTCATCGGAACAACAACATATGCCTTCACGAAATAGTGTTGTGTCAAACAAAGCGATTAGAGACAGATATGGGGAACGTAACAGCAAACTGAGAGCTGATTGGAAAATGGCACGAGAGAAATGAATAAAAGGCAATAGTCAAACATAAAAATACAGACGAAGCATCTTAAATAACGAACAATCCGCGAAGAAGGCGTCCATTTTTTAATGCATCTATTAATTACACTCTCACAGTCACTTGTCCCTGCATTATTCATCCTTTCATCCATTTTCTAATATGCTTATCCTTGCAAGGGTCGTGGGCATGCTGGAGCCTATTCCAGCTGTCTTCGGGCAGTTGGCGGGGTACACCCTGAACTGGTTGCCAGCCAATCGCAGGGCACACGTAGACATACAACCATTCAAGTCAAGTCAAGTCAACTTTATTGTCAAATAAATATGCTCTATGTGCAACAATAAAGTTCAGGTGAAATTTCTTTCCTCTCAACCACAGTGCAACCACAGGAGAGAGAGGAGCCGCTGCGGGTACCCGCCCCGCCATCAACAGAACAGTTAACATAAAATGACAAAATAATATCATTATAAAAGCATCTGTAGGGATTTAGGGGCTTTTTTGTCATGATTTTCGTCGCGCTCCGTTTTGGTGTCTTGACTTTCTTTTTTCTTCCCCTCAATCTGTCTCCTCATAGCATCGTGCCGCCCTGTGTGATTCATTGTTGCTAAAATTGTGTTTTATATCAATATTTGTATTTCTCTTGCAGGCCATACATTAACAAGCGCGAAGATGTCAAAGATCTGTGCTTTGGCGTTAATGGCAAGTGAGTCAAAATAATCACAGTTTGTGTTATGCAGAACATTATCCAGTCTGAATAATTCTCAGTGAATACTCTGGAAGAGGTCAAAGCTTAAAAATGAAATAACATGCTCACAGGTAATTTTTTTTTCTGAGGATTAGCAGCAATTTTTATGTGTGCAGTATGATGTAAATTATGCTTGATCGGTGCTTGATAAAGTGTCTTGTTTGGAAAGCGATGTCAAGGCAAGGCAGTTTTATTTATACACTACGGTACATTTCATATAGGAGTTAACTCAATATGCTTTTCACGAGCAAAGAAACAGCACCAAAAAGCACACCCTTAACAGAAGACTTTAAATAGAAGTAGAGTAAAAAAGGAAAAATAGGTTTCTAAAATTAAGAAAAGATCATACTGTGAATTTGGGTTGAAACGACCTTAATCAAAGGTATCGGGAAAAAAAGCTAACTTTTAAGTACGGATTTAAAAGCATTGACTGTATACTGACTGGCTGACCTGACTTCTGTTGACAGGTTATTCCATTTTTCTAGCCGTGATTCCCAACCAGTGTGCCGGGGTACATTAGTGTGCCGTGAGATCTCAACTGTGTGCTGCTAAAAATGATCACATTTTACAAATAATGCATCTTTGTCAGCAACTGATAGTGACAGAAAGATTTTGTTTGGTGGTGTGCCGTGCGATTTTTCGACCCTACAAAATGTGCCTTGGCTCAATAAAGGTTGGGAATCACTGTTCTAAAGCATACCAGCTATATGCCACTAGACCATGTCTGCTTTGAACTGTGGGCTCAACTAAATCAAGTCAAGTCTAGCTGCTGATTTGATGAAAATACTTGTTTCCTTTTCCTGAAAGGCATTTTCCACACTTCACATTTTAGAAATGGTGTGATATTTTCCTGACTTTTGCGTTTCTTCTTGCTGAACACACTGTGATGAGGAAAAAAAACTTCAGGATATATCTCCTAATGCTATAATATGCTCTCTCTTGCAGCTGTCTCGCTGGTGTTTGCTGAAGAGCAGAAGTGTAAGTACACCTGACTTCCCGTACATTTTTACCCCCTGAAAAATGTCCCTGATTTAACGGTTGAATTAAAATGACTTAGTATGCACAAAATGCACATTGCAGGTTCTTGACAGTGGCGGTGAATCATTAGTGAGGGCATCAAACTAGGTCACATTGTCTGCTCATCTCACATTGCGCTGTTGACTCTCATGTGCCTGTTTGATGTTTTGAATGGTTAGAGGTGTGTCAGAAAGTTCCAGGACTGTTTTTCACTAAATATATACCGTATTTCAAATCCGTATTACAAACCAAAAAGCTTTTTCCTTCAAAGTAATCCCGCTGGAGTCTAACACAGTTATCCAGCCTCCTCTGCATGCCTTGATGCAGTCCTGGAATGAGACGCTGGATCCTGCGCCACCATTCCTGGAACCTTTCTGACATCACCCCAATATGTCCTGCACCTGATGCTCAAACCAACTTTGTTTTTGTCTTACAGCTGAAGATGACCCATTTACCTTTGGTAAATCCTCTTGTTCTACCCGCTTCTTTAAAAATCAATCAAAATCAATATTTTTAACCTTACATTTCACAACCATTGGGCTTGAGACTTCGTGACAGAGACGTGTGCAAGAAGATCCATCGCTAGTTGTAAAGTGTGTCTCCGTGCACCGCGAGAATGGATTTGACACCAGCCTAGTAAAATGGTCAGACTTTCAGCTTTATCTGGCAGCTCTTTTACTGGAACATGCGAGAAGTGACCATGAAAGGGGTTGTAGGTCATGGAAAAAATCTCAACGTTCAGACTTGGTCACACACTATGGACGGCATTGATGTGCTGAATAATACCCAGAAGTCTGAGAAAACCAAACGTTCATTTTCCTTCATTCTATTAGGCTGAATGTCTAAACATCAAAGGGCTACAAAACATATTTATCGTTTTTTTAGCTCTAAAAAGTTAATATTTTGTCTATACTGACTTTGATAACTTCATCATTTTTCATGCATAATTCACAACTGGGTGAAGTCTACCTTTTACCAAGTCAGATTTTTGAGTGTTTGCTTTTGTATCACGTTATGGAAATCCTGCTGTACACAGACTACCACAGACTGCGTGTTGGAGGTCTGATTCTTGCAGCTGTCCTTTGCCTCATTGGCATTACCATCCTGCTCAGTAAGATGCACAACACACACTCATATGCCCATATGCTTCCTTGTATACATTGGCATAGATGAGAACAGTCCGAAAAATGTAAATAAATAAATAAATGGCCACTCAAACTATCATGTCAAGCCTACACCTTTCTCTTTGCACAGGCGGCCACTGCCGGTGCAAGTTCAAGCAGGACAAAAGGTGATACTCATACAATTGCAGTTGACAACGTAGCGTGAAAAAAATGCTTTTGCCTTGTCTCACCGTGCCCATCGCTCTGCAGGAGGAGGGCAGGAAGCAACACTCAGGCAATGCTCACCGACCAAGGTAATGTATACTCAGCTAGCAGACATGGAAATTCTGCCATCAAAAATTCTATATAACTACATCCAATAAAATACGTGAATACCTCTACCTAGGTTGGACTAAGTATTTGGTACCCGGGCCCTCAGTCGGGACTTACCCGACCTAAATTGACCTCTTAATACCACCATTATCGCGTCGCAGTTACAGAAACCATCAAGACCATACAATAAGGGGTGGCCAACCACTCAGAGACCAACAGTGACAATATTTACTGTGTTGCTACATAGCGCCACATCATACACAGGGGCGCACATAAATAAACTGTCCTCTGCCCTTCACTCCCTACCTTCCCCTTCGCATGTTCGGACAAATTTCCCTTCATTGCCCATGCTACGTTCCAAGCAAGATGATATTCGTGCTTCATCAATTCTGCGAGCATTCATTCCTCACATTAGTCACTGGCAATAAGGTGCATTGAGTGCATTGACGTTTAACCCTTTCAGCGACAGCGGTTATCAAGTTGCAGGGTTATGAAAGGGTGAAATTTGATTTCGGGCTTTGAAAAAAAAAGAAATCTACAAAAAATAAGAGAAAATGCATTCCTGTCAATAAGCGTAAGTAGTAACAGACATATAATACACAATGTTTTAATTTCTAGGAGAGCCTTAGATTTTACTCATGTTTCACTTTTCTTCACAACAAATGAGACCGTGGTCCGTGGTCTCTGCCCCTCATTACACACACAATGGCTGGTGGTCACCCCATAAAGTTCAATATGAAGAGGGTTTCAAGAGCCGCATGTGGCTCGCGAGCCGCAGGTCGCCCACGTCTGCTATACAAAAGCACAACTGTTTCTCTCGAGCATTTCAGAATCAATATTTATTTACTGATAGGACCTGCTAATGTAGTTTAAGTTAAATCAACCTCACTAATGATTTTGAAGGTCCTGGACAGGTTAGATTGACACGGTAGCACGCTAAAACAATCGAGCATTCAAATTCACTACTGGAAGCAGTGCAGTCAAGTGAAATGCTTGTAAATCAAGAGAATTGACTTTTGGGAGTAAATTATTACAATTTGGCTGAACAAATATGTTTGGGTGGTACATGTAGGTCAGTGCTTCAGTGTTAAAGCCGGCAGAGAAAAACCTGCTGGTCCCCGACAGCTTACCACGGCATATGGTACCTTACCTATATGTAGTAAGATCGACCTCTCCTTTCCTGTTGCAATATTGACAATTGTATCACCCATTTGCCATCCTGCCAAAGTCTAAAGTTATGTTTACTTTGTCCATCTGTCTGTGAATGGACTCACATCACACACGCTGATATAATGTAGAGCAGGGGTGCCCAACCTTTTTTGACACAAGATCGACTTTTTAAGCAGCCAACCTCCCGGCATTGACCGCACGCGTACTCAGACACACACATGCACGCACAAGTATGCCATAATGAGCAAGAGTCATATCAGAAACCAACTTGAACAAAACAAAAATAATAAATCAGATACAAGGCAGGTAGCGCTCCGTTTGTTTCAAAAAAAAAAAAAACGAGTCTTTTTATTTTTTATTTTATTTTGGCTATCTTTGAGGGCGATCAAACACAGGGATCCAAGGATGCACATTTATAGCGTGTACAGTACAGAATCATCACTATCGTAGCTCACGTGAACTGTTTCCTAATGCCGCTCCAGATTACGTTTTTTTGCCAGTGCAATCGGAGCATTGCAGATTCGCCACCATAGGTTAGTAACTAGAGTTGGGAATAACAGCATTGAAGTATAATAACTCCGTTACTAATGCACATCATTTTAGAGGAATCACAATAACCTACTTAATTACATCACTTGACCTCACAATACCGCTGCTGTTACTGATGATGTAACGTGTCGCTCGATGACGAATCTCCATCGACATCCACATTCCAGTAGGATTTAGGTGTGCATGTGATTCTTATAATTAATGGTTGACAATATCATTGCCATGCACAACGTTACAAATAAGCAACATGGCTTGGATGTCATTGTTTCTTGTGTGGTCCTCGATCAAGGTTTCATAAATTGGAATAGCCAACAAATTCAAGATGGAGGAGGGAACAAACCGAAAGTAAAAAGCCGTGTTCAGAGATGTGACAAATGGATTTATTTATTAACTTATTTTTGGTGCGTGTGCTTTTTAAATATGATTGGAATGAATAAGACACCAATCGCAGTATGGATATTGATGTTGATGACAATCACAATGATTGACTGTCAACCAGCAAATGAAAATCAGTGCATGAGATCGATCAATTTAATGAAAAGGCATTATCTGGTAAATTAAGCTCAGCAAAACCTTGATTTTCACTTAGACTTGGTCCTGCGTGTGTTGCGATATGTTGTGTGCTGCTTTTGGAGATGTGTGAATTTTGTTTTCTGGAACTATGAGTGAGGGTGGAATTGAGAAAATCACTTCCTAGTTACGAGGAGCAGAAGCACCAAAGATCTGTGGATTCAGTACATAGGTGAGAGGATAATCAGCACATAAGAACTCATACTCGTGCGTGAATGCACACTTGCGCACATGTGTTTTCAGCTTCGCGCTATATCCAGGCTCGTAAAACGTCTGTGCCTGTTTATAGCTAGAGTACACCTCGATGCATGCAAACTTAAACAGTCGTCTGCCTCTATCATCGGACAAGCTGTCTGTGGACATTTAAGGGTAACTGCAGAGGATCCACAGGCAGACACAATGGTATCAGTACTGGTTTATTGTTAGGAAGAGGGATAGGTCAAGGAGTCAGAGAAACCAAACCAATGCGTACAGGAAGGCTGATTGTAAGCGCTCGGCAGCAGCGAGTACAGCAGGGAAGTTAGCAACTTGAAAACTGGCAATGTGTGGCTCTTGAGACAAGCCTTTATGCTGCAGGGGTGGGACCGGCTGATGAGGTGAAGACTGGCAGGTGTGTAGGTGAGACAGGTGCAGTGATTGGGGAGACGCCCAGCCCACACTGAATTTAGGGAAAGGTCACCAAAAACAACAGAGGGAGGGGCCACACGGTGCCAGAATGAGGACAGACAATGTATTCCAACACTCTTATAGTTTAATATTTGTTCTGACAGAATGTATGAGAGTTGGATAGAGCCCAGTTTACTGTGCAATAATATACAATACAGAGAGCACGACCAAATGGCCAGATTTTCCTTTCTTTCGTTTTACATTCAAGTTTACGTTTGTGTCGTAGTTTTACACTTTAATGCAGTGTGTGATTATTACTTATTTTCAAGACGTTTTTATTTCTCTGCATGTAGCAAATTGCAATCTGTTGAGTTCAATCCATCCATCCATCCATCCATTTTCTGTTCCGCTTATCCTCACAAGGGTCGCGGGGGGTGCTGCAGCCTATCCCAGCCATCTTCGGGCAGTAGGCGGGGGACACCCTGAAATGGTTGCCAGCCAATCGCGGGGCACACACAGACGAACAACCATCCACGCTCACACTCACACCGAGGGACAATTTCGCGTGTTCAATCAGCCATGAATGTTTTTGGAAAGTGGGAGGAAACCGAAGTACCCGGAGAAAACCCACGCAGGCCCGGGGAGAACATGCAAACTCCACACAGGGCGGCCGGAGCTGGAATTGAATCCGGTACCTCTGCACTGTGAGGTCAACACGCTAACCACTGGACCACCGGGCCGCCATTACTGAGTTCAAATAAATGCAAAATATTCTAAAAGTTTGTATTATTCATTTAGATATTATAAACATATTGACACTCCAAATAGAACAAAGGGGAAAAAAAAATCATAATTACTTTGCTGAGTAACTAAATACTTTTACACGGCAGTGACTGAGTTGTAATGGAAATACTTTCTGGAAATCATTAGTAACAAATTACTTTCTTAAAATAACTTGCCAAATACTAAAAGTGACCTTATTCTGGCCCGAGTGATTGTATTACAGTGCAGTGCAGTGCCCCTAGCGGTGCAAGTAGTTAAAACCACCCAAAATTGCATCACAGTACAGTAAAGTGCCCCTAGTGGCGGAAGTAGTTAAAAACACCCAAAAAGTCAGTGGGGTGGCGTAGCCATTTTGATTCACAACAGTGGAGAGGTGTGATCACATCCACTTCCATACTCTTTCTTTTGACAAGTTCAGGCACAATCTGTAAGTACATTTACACAGTTGTACATGTTACTGTTTGTTGTGCAATTATTTATCGGCACATATCAATATTTCACCAGTTAATCTCTGTAGATATTTACCATAGAATTGTTGAATAAGCTAGAGAAAAGGCTGTTACATGAGTGTCGAGTGTCATGTCATATGTATAATTGGATGCTAGACAAACATTCATGTTGTGTTTCTGTTTGTATACAGTTTTACAAAAAAGATTTCCATAAATATACCAAACGGTAGATTCTCATCTTCGTGTTTTTATTGGAGGATTGTTGAGCTCGCTGTCGACGCCATGCTCTCATGTCAAACGCATGGTTAGGGCAGAAGACACCTACTTTAAAAATAAATCAATAAATTAAAAAAATGTTGGGTGTGACAATTATAGTTGAGTAGGCTCAAAATATATAATAATAATAATATAATAATAATAATAACAGCACACATGCACAGACACACTATTTTAAATTCATTTTTTCTTTTCCCCATATCCCCCTCTCACTCGACTTGGGACCAGTCTGCGCTCTACCGATCGACTATGATCGAGTGGTTGGACACTCCTGATGTAGAGAGTAGCTTAAACTTGTCCAGCAATGACTTGGTCCACGCTGTTCAACAGGTGGTGGTGTGAGGCAACCAGTTATGTAGTCGACCCTTAGAAAATTGATGGCAGAAATTGCATTTGCAGGAAAGCAAATTTAAAGAATGACTTTGACTTCTGACTGCCAAATATCATACTGTTTGTCTGCAGGTCGTGCCTGTGATTGCTAGAAGTTGACAAGGACACGATGAAGTGGGATACTGCAGAAGCAGCAGCATTTGACACCCAAGTGGAGGAGATTTTCATTTTTAAGGAAACCAACCTGAGGTTGTAAGATGTGGGCTTGTTGTGACTGACAAATGCTCTGTGGACAGCTATTTCAGGCACTCACAAACACACACTTGCATTGGAAAACTCTGGCATGCGCGCGTGCGCACACACACACACACACACACACACACACACTTGTTGAGGCTTTCGTGTCATATTCAGTTCCATTTTTTTACTTTGTCATAATTATTCATCAATTTGAGTTAAAAGCTTGAATTTATTCTCGTCAAAGTGACCTGTTACACAAACCAATTACAGTTCCTTATATAAGTTGTGTCAATGTATCTCACTACTCAGTATTGCGTGTTTAAGAAAAATGTGGAGCTAGACATTAGCGACTTACTGTAAGCACCCTAACGCATGTTTCATGTATCCCTGTCACATACATAAAATGCACATCGTAATAATTATCCATGAGTGACAATATGTCATACCTGTCAACCTCCGCTAATAGCTGCCCTTATGAATGATTACGATTCCCCTTACAAAGCAACAAAAACCCGTACAACGGCTTACCGCGCATGTGCACATCATGCTTTATCAATCCGACCGTACGCAGCGATGACAAAAAATAATTAAATAATAATACAAAAAAAATATACGATTGAGGATTACTTTTGCTGGTTTGCCGTGACAAGAGTAGCTATCGACGACGGCAGTGTACTTGGCTACCAGCAGGTGAGACGATCTGGATTTGAGCCAAAATGGTCTTTGTGAGATCGGTTCACAATTGTTTTTTTTTTCCGTATAAAAGTTGTAATACGCCGTACATGATTTGAAATGATAAAAAAAACGTATAAAATACGGGGAAAACGTACAAGTTGACAGGTATGATATGTTCAAGAGTTGTGTTAATTGATTATAATCTTTACATTTTCCTACTCAGCTTCTTTGAGCAATGCCGTGAACGTAACCGTTCAGAAACAGTCTGCCATATTTCAATTAAAGAATTGTTGAAATAATAACAATGAAAACCTGTTTCCTTTGTGTATTTAAAGGGTTCAACTGCATCAGAGGAGAAATCCGTGTGGTATATGTTCATAAAGGGCCGCCCCTCCCTCGGGTGCCACATTTTTGCACGAGGGGAAGCTTTGGCTCATATGCAAAATTGATGTGCGATTGCGCTACGATCAGGCACGCCATGGGCCAAATTTGCTCAAGAGAGGCAATAATTGCTGTAATGACAGCATCTCTGACATCAGGAAGGATGTGCTGGTCGACACTTACAGATCAACGAGTGAATTAACTTGTCCAAAGGAAAACGTTTTTTGGAGACAGGCGCGCTGGGATTTTCGGGCCAAGACAAGTGTAGTTTACTGTGGATGGGAATTTGGCAGACCACGCTTTCTATTCCACGCCCCCGGCACACCTGATAATTTGGTGACAGAAAGTAGACCAGATTTTAGACCAAATGAAACCAGGTCCAAGTTATCAAGTTATCAACCAGTTACCAAGTTATGGCGCAGGTGGCGTAGTGTGATTTTGGTGCATTTGATCCAGGCGCAGCCAGAAAGATATGTGCTCCTTTGATTTATGTGCTGGATGTCATCGGATTTCATTCGTAATATGACATCAGCATACACTCTGAAGAATTGTAGAAATCAATTCATTAAATATATTATTATCTTTTAGCAGTGTTGTGGTCCTCGAGGACCGGCTCGAGGATCGAAGGTCGGTCCTTGGTCCTTGGCCTTGGCCTCAGAGCCAAGTTCTTGGTCTTGACCTCGGGTTGCCGGTCCTTGGACACAACGAGGGATTAGAGCCCCTAATTCCTCGTCCACAGGTATAAAATGGGTCCGAGCACCGTAAAAATCATGAAGAAATCAAACATACACCATCCAGGGAAACCCATATTGATGGATTTATCTGGCGCTTTGAGAGGGGCGGGGCCGCCATTGACAGGTAACAGTTAGCGCAACGTATAAAAAGCGGCATCACAGTTAGTTTCAATCCCGGTTCGTTCCGTTCGCGGTCGGCAGTTGAAATAGCGTGTAAAGTCTTTCTGTAACAGTGGTGTCTTTTATTTAGTTATTTTTGCACAGTCGTCACGTTTGTGCGGTGGCACTAGAATGTTTGTTTGAACCAAGTAATTTGCGTTACAGCTGGAGTCAATAATGCCGGCACTTCACTTCCGGGTTTGGCCGTTGGGATTTGGAGTCCTTTTGCTCGATTCCAGTTATGTTTGCTGGATGCTTTCTCATGTTTGGAATCATGAATATTGACAATACATGGTTTAAAATCACGGTTGATTTAATTATTTATTATTATTGTGAAGTTGAAGGTATTAAATTAATGTACTAGTATTAGTGGTAGTGGTAATAACAGGAGTACTCAGAGAATGTTTAGAGATCAGCCATCTCGTTACCTCTGCGTCCTGTGTCCGAGACGCATAATTTTCCCACGGGACGCACAGTTCCAAATAATGTGTGTTTTTGGGACGCAAGGAAATTTCTCAGTAAAATTAAAAAAAAATAAAAAAAAACTCCGGCAATCCCGAGGATTTCACGGTAACAATCGTTACTGGTAGCTTGTCGTTTCCGTGGCTTCATTTTAACGGTACCGAAAAATAGTTTAACCATAAAAGTCACCGCACACGAGTTGACTGTGTGATCAACGCGATTTCACTGTGCCTGTATGTGTGTTTGTGGTGTGGTGTGTGAGTGTGTTTCTTCTAATTTACTTACGTTTTGTTTTGTTTTCAGTGTTGGGGGGACGCAACAGATAACGTTATGTGTGCATGCGGGTTGCTATTTTAGTCCGCAAACTGAGGAATCACGTGGATGATAGTTTGAGATGGCGGCGAAAAAAACTCACAAAGGTCTACTAATTACGACGTTTAAGAAATTGGAATGCCAGTCTGATTTTTCGTATGAATCGTCCAAAGGGCGTATCACTAAACTCACCTGGGATGTATGCACAGAATACGAGAGCGAGATACGACGAGAGGCACGATTACGAGGCAAGTTG